AATGATAAATATCAATTGATAATTAATTATCCTATTTCTGCAATAAATAGATTACTTGTGGTAATCAAATGATTTGAGAAATAATTTAAATAATTAATTATAATTAAATAATAAATAGTTTGAGAGTTGATAATGAAGATAGAGAGTTAATTAATAATTAATTATTCTGTTGAACAATAATTAATCACCGGATAATGATTAATTAATTGCAAACTGTCGATTAATTAATTAAATTAAATTATACGTAAATAATTAGAATAATAGCGTAAATAAATATTTGAATGATAATCAATTGCACTATTCGATTGATGAACTAATTGTCAGGTGACAATCGATCAGTCAGCCAAAGTTAAACAATTAATTAAAATTACAAATAAGTAAGTTAGATAGATTATCAAATGTTTGAATTATAAATGATTTGATGTTAAAAACTTATCTTATTTGTATTGAAGTCCAACGATACTGGCAGCAGCTGGGTGGTATAGTGGATGGATCCTCGGCACGTCTTGCTCGTCTTCGCAAATCAGGGTTCGTGTGAACTTCATACCTCACAGGAGGCACCAAATGTTTTGTCGAAAACTATCCAATGCGGATATTTCTCGTAATTGTTTTAACAATATGATGAAGTTGGGATTAGGAAGTTAAATAAAAATGCTTGGATTTTTTGGGGAACAGTTTAGATGGTTTATTTGTCCCCAAAGGAGGAAAACCCAGCTAGGCTGGGAAAAAACCTCCTTGTTTAAGATTTATACAAGTAAGTTGTATGTGTGTAAGTGTGTGTGTGTAAATTACGTTGCAATAACGCAATAGGGGTGAGCTCAGCCGCCGTATAAAGAAAATTATCGATAATTTAAATTTGTATAGTCCTAAAGTGGGAGCTAGTAATATCTAATTAATTAAATGAACTGTCTCAAGGCGAGAGCTAATAATGTTCAATTAATTAGATGAATTGTTTCAAGGTGAGCGCTACTAATGTTCAATTAGTTAGATAAATTGTCTCAAGGTGAGAGCTACTAATGTTCAATTAGTTAGATAAATTGACTCAAGGTGAGAGCTACTAATATTCAATTAATAACAGATCGTTAGTTAATTGAATTTTGGTTTTCATATACGAATTAGTGAAATGAATTTAATTTCAGAATGGAAATGTTAATATTTATGATTAAGTAAAAATAGTAATTTGTCACGGGGCTCCTTTATTATCTATTGAAGGCCCTCACCTTGGCTATGGTTAATTATCGACGGATCACAGGGCGCTGTGATCTAAGATGCTCGCGCAGTTAAAATTCGATAAAATAAGTTCTGGGACCTAGAGTGGAAGTGCTTCAAGAGTGGGGAGAAGACAGCATCGAAGCAAAAGGAAGTTGTCGCATGGAGAGAAAAGATTGTGAAGACGGAACTCGACAAAGCAGCCTCGAAATTCTAAAGACACAAGATAACTAACAACGCCGAAAAATAACCAAAAGCAGCGTAGAAGTAAAACGAAGCAGCCATACTGGATATTGTTGTAGCTGTTGCACCGGGACCTGATTACGAATTGGAATAACATCTGTAGTCTCCAGGAATTTATAACAATCCCAGGTATCGAAAATTAACCTCTGTGAAATAAACTACGCTGCTCGAGGAATTCTAGGCACTGGCCAGGTTCCTGCTTCCAATCACTAGATTTATTAATAATAATTGAATTTATTTAATATCTGAATTTATAAAGTCGAGGTTAGGAATAATTTAATCAAAATTTGATATTAAGAAAATTCCGAAATTTAAAATAAGTTAAAATCAAAATTCAACGAAGTTAAAATTATCAAATTAAATTAAGAAATAATTTAAGTCAAAATTAAAATAAAATTTATAAAATTAAAATCGATAAAAAATCAAATTAGTGGTTGTGTAATAGTAAAATCCGTTAAATAAATTTTAAAATAAATTATTATTAAATTAAAATCAACACCAAAATTAATTGAGTTAAAATTTAATTAATAAATAAAATTTAACCTCAGTACTAAAACTATTCGAAAAGTGAAAATTGAAATTTATCAATCGTTGAAAATTAAAATTAATTATAAATTAGTAAATTAAAATAACAAAATTATTAAAACAAAATTTATTATTAAATTAAATTGTTCAGGACTTCGATAAATAAATTTGTCCAAATCCAACAAATAATTATTGAGAAAATTTACATTAAAATTTTGACCTTGTAAAATGTAGCATAAAATAATACTCGTTTCTCAAATCCTCTTTGGAATTCAAAATGGATGCTAAGCCGAGTAATCAGGCAGATTAAATTCAGTTAAAATAAATCTAAAAATTTTCTGTGATAAATTAAATAATAATAATAAGATGAAACTAGAACTTAAATTTAATTTTAAATATTTATCGAAGTCAAGATTAAGAACCGGGATAGTTTGAGTTGAAATCCCAGGAAGGGTATTGTAAAGGCGAATTTTAGTAATATTGTTAAATAGAATTAAGTGAGTTATTTTATATTAAAATTAGAAGTAGTGTGAAAATTAGATAAATTGTTTTATTAAAAAGTGTGTGTGTGTGTGTGTGTGGAATAAATTTACATTATATACTCCTCGTTCACGGGCTGTCGAGGAGGTTAGTATTACTAGGTTGTCGACTAGTTTCATGGTATCCTCCTCTGTCCTAGTCGACTTCAGGTTCCTTAGTCCCGTAGTGAAGGTCCAGGCGACAGCGAAAGGGCTAAGGACGGTTTGAACCTTGGGCAGGGGTCCGGGCGACCACCCAAGGTCAGATCTAGAGTCTTAGAGCGTGAGGGTCCAGTGGACAGCGCGATTTAGTTAGAAACTGCGGTATAGACGCTCCATATGAGGGTACTGTCAGGAATAGGGACTATGATAGAAATTGCGGCATAGATGCTTCATATGAGGGTGCTGTTAGGAATAGGAAATTTTATTAGAAACTGCGGTATAGACGCTCCATATGAGGGTACTGTCAGGAATAGGGATTTTATTAGAAACTGCGGCATAGACGCTCCCTCAGAGGGTGCTGTAGGATTAAGATATTTTGATATTGTATAAGAGTGTGTGTGTGAGATATAATTATAATATTCGAGGCTATTGTAAAAGTCATTTGAATAAATTTGGAGTTTATATTGAAATTAATTGTTATTATTTGTGTTAACCTAACTATCATCTCTCTCGACCCTTAGATATCTCTCATAGCTCGGACCGGTTCTGAAAACCGTGATAAAAATTTCAGTGGCGCCCTTAAATTAATAAATTAAATAAGGGGCGACATAGTAGCAGGAATCAAACCGTTACAAATTAAATATTGGTAATGAATTCAATATTAATATCGCGTGTTAATTAGAGATTGACTAAAGCCGCGTGGCTGATGCAATCCTTTGTGAATATGGCGCGTAATTACCGCGTGGCGTCACTAATTAAATCTACTTTGATTTTAGTTATTCTAATTCACTGAACTATTAAACTGATTTGAATGATTTGAGAATGTAATTGTTATTAAGTTGAAGTAATTATTTATATTTAATGAAGAATTGAAGTATCTGAATAAATGTGAGATGCAAGTAAGAAATATTAGAATCGATTGACACAGAGTACTCGTACTAGTACAAGAGTCCAAGCACAACTGTTGCAGCAGACCACGCGAGCCGGCTTCTCTACCGCTAACCAAGGCGCGCATGAGCGACGGCCATAGCGTGATACGATTATTCCCGAGTTTTAACGATTAAGCCCGAAGGCGTAATTCTTCTTATAAGTATTTGACTAGATCTTTTTTCTAGCGGTTAAACACGCGATAAAAAAAAAATAAAAATTATTTTTACCATCCATTTTTTTATAAGCTTTTTATTGATATTTTAAGAGTACAAAACATTAATAATATAAGAAAAAAAATTTAATTTCAAAAAACTGCAGGTTGGCGAAGTGGGGACTGATGGAAAAATGGCTTGTCCTGGTGTTCGGTGAACAAGGCCCAGTAGCGATTAATTTGTTCCTGGGAGACTCCCAATTTCAAGAGACGCACCTGTCCACCGCTAGTTCCCGCAAAAACTAACCACCAATGGAAAATTAGATTCTCGATCACGCCATAGATCGACCGCTTTATTGGCTGTTCGCTCTCGCTAGACATGCGCAATAGCCTTCTTCCCCAAGTCAACGAGGAAGAAGACGAACTATTATTATTATCTTTCGCATCCACGCTTTCGTTGCAACAAGTCGCCATTAGTGCTTTATTACTTTCGCTTATTGTTAATTAACCGCATTTCGCTATTTTTATAATTTAAATTGCTTAAATTAATTGCTAATAATTCGCTTTAATTTGTTACAGATAAATTGTGTTATTTGTGCATTTATTTCACCGCATTTTTCAGTGCCGGCAGAGTGTTCAACCATGTGTCAACCGGCTTCGCTTTTGCTAACCACGCCGTGCTTTATAAATCCGCTTTTATTTAAACAATTCGCTAACAAACATATTAAATATTGAGTGTATTTATTGTAAATAAATTTCTAGTGTTAATTTTAATAATAATTTACGCATTTTAATTGAGATATCCAGACTGAAACCTGATCCCCGTTTTTCCGCTCTTTCAGCATTTTACACCTGGTGTGCAGGATATAAATCCTTCCCATGACCTGAAATGAAAATCCATGAATAATTCGTAACGAGGAAGGGTGCAGTTATCGCACTACGAAACGTTTTTGAAAAAGAAAATTTTTTTTCACAAAATGGCGGTGGTTTGAAAAAAAAGCTTCGTATTTTCCCTGTTTTTTTGTCCTTTGGAATTTTTTAAAAATACAAAACAAAAAAAATTTTTTTTAAACTCTTTGTAGTGCGATACTATAATGTATGAAGAAGCTCTGTGTAAAATTTCAAGTGAATCCGTCAAGTAGAATTAAAGATATCATGCACACCGTTTCCAGAAAAGTAGTTACGAGAAAAACGAGTTTAAAGTTTGCGGACTAATCGCGCGCACTCGGAGCCGTTTACTGACGTTTTAAACTCACTTGTTATTAATCAGCTATCCCTGCTCCGTACAAAGTACCTTCTTCGACTTTAAATATCATGTTTAGTGAAGCTCTTTCAGATGATTTAGCAGTTCTAGCTTTCTTGGAAGCCTCAGTAGCTCGTACCTCGGACCTGTTAATTCGGACTTGATCACGTTTGTTCACGAATGCGTGAGATTCTGGCCCAATTGTTATTCCCATTGATGATAAAATCTTTAAAACTGGTAATAATCCTTCATTAAATATACATACCGCAATGAAATTAGCAATTTCAATTGTATGGGTACCAGCATGAATATGCTTGGGTGCGAAAGTCCAGATGAGTGAATTTATAGACTCGTTATTATTCTGAGTTTCTGAGCCCAAGCATCTTTCCAGCAAGCTTTCTGAAGACAAATCTTCGTATATTGGCTTAATAACTTTCTGAACTGCTTCAGTTAAAGGAGGATTATTATGCTGAAATTCATCCAGAGTTTCTTCAGCTTCAGCGACCTGCCACTTACACCAACTTGATGAACCCTGCGGACAAAAGTGATGTTGTGGATTAGAGTTCGTAGAAATTTTAGGAAAATAAGTAGCCCATACCTCATTTTTCATATTTCCTACGGACTCTGGATTTCTTTGAATGGCTAAACCATAATAGAGACTTAGCTCATTTATAATTTTATCAGTTAGCTTTCCAGGACCTTTACCACCAATACCAGTATTATTTTTATTTGCTTTCCGCAAACGGGACCCCATTCTCTTCTGGACATGACCTACACACTCTTTTTTTATGACTACAGGACCACCATCGTATGGGTTTATATCAAGAATCCCTTTAAAAGTTTTAGAGTCACCGTCACCGATGTATTTGACAAGCTTTACTCCATGTTTTTCCTCCGAACGACTAAACATTTCAACGACCGAATCCACCTCCATTTTACCGGAACTTCCTTTATGATTGATAGTAGGGGAGAGGTGCTGCAATTGTAACAAGGGGCAATTGTAACACTCAATGAAAAACTATTAAAAAAACTAAAAATTATTATTATTCTCTTTTTAATTTCTTCAAAACAGTAATTTATTGATTAGATCAAAGTTTCAGTTATTAATATTGTTACGATATCGAAATATTGAGAATTGTTGAAAATACGCGTGAAAACTTTTTTTTGTACGATTCACAATTTTTTTAATAACAAATTTGTTTTCTAATGTTAAAATGTGAGACTTGTATTAATACTTTAAGAGACATATCAAGAGTATTGTAAAATCGAATTTCATATGAATTTACTGATTTTTGTTATTATAATTAGATTTTTATTAACAGATCAGCGTGAGCGTCAATTGTAACACTTGAACGAGTAGCAATTGTAACACTCAAAGTCGTGTATGGAATATGCGCAAACTGGATGCGCCACAAATCTACTCTGGAATAGTGTAGTTTGTAAAGTTTTGTAAATGTTTAATAATTTATATTAAAGATCCAAATATATGATATACTATAAGTTTAAATACTTGACTTTAAGAGTTAATGAAGTATAATAGTACGTTTTAAGACTATATAATAAAAGCAATTTGATGAAAAATATCTATTTCGTCCCGTGTTACAATTGCCCCTGCACTGTGTTACAATTGCAACCCTTGCGCGCCGCCATCTTGGTCCCTGACTTTAGTTGAATAAATTAATTTTTTAATAAGTTAACATTGACTTTTTACTACTTAACTAAGTCAGTCACATAAAAAATACTATCAATTAACTTTCTGACAGTTTTTAAGTTTACTATCTTGAAAAAAGCAAATGGAATAGAAAAAATAAAAATTTTTGTTACAATTGCAGCACCTCTCCCCTACACGTATCTTGATGCTCTTCGTACCAATCATTATAAGCTTCAATGTCTGAATTTTTTTTACCTTTCCATAAATTACATCCTTGGCAGAAGCTTGATTTTACTACAGTATCAATAACCTTTTTACTATATTTTCCCACTAGAGTAGTAACTCCAAACAGTGAGTTGAAACCGCGCTTCTTCCACGTCCCGTCACCTGACACAGTAAGATGCGTGGAGTCAGTATCAGGTTCATGCTTTTTCATTAATTCTTTTTCTTCCTCAACAGCTTTGGAAATGACAGATTCGTATACTATAGATGCAGCCTTATACAGTTGGTCCATACAAAAGTAATACATACTTATTGTTATCCCGTGGCAAATATCCATCATGCTACAAAAGATATTTATACCTTCTCTCCCAACCCCTAAAAGTCTCATTTTCTGTCCATTTCGCACTAGTGTTATGCTTCCATCTAGGGGATGTTATTTTTATTTATTGAAAATTTTACTTACTGTAGTTCTTTCGCCCGGGAGTATTAAAATACTCGGTTTCAGCGCGGGAAAGGAATAATTTTAAATAAAAGAATTCTATTTAGACGTTATTTAGTTTTTTAGTTTTGATCAAAATTATTTAGTTGGTTTTAATTTATTATTCAAGTTGACAAAATATTAAAAGCTTGAAACTATGAAATTGAGGTTTACAATGACGTGATCTTAGCAATCTAAGCTCTCGATGAGAAGTGTCGTTACATAGTTTTTCCGGAGAGCTTCAAACTCCGTTCTTCTCCCACCATAACTCCCATACATATATCCACTCTTGTACATATATAAGTACACATATTTCTACTACATATAAATGATTTTCACACTAATATATAATATTTTCTATTATATTTACATGCATTTATTTATCAATTATATATATTGCAGTTGATTAATATTCATATTTTGCAAATTAGATTAAGCTTATTACTATTTCTATCAATCTATAATTTATTAAAACTATGAAATAGTTTAATTGTTAATGTAAGAGATAAATATCATTTAATAATATTATTTTATAAAATCTTATTCTTTTAACATTAATTAATAATTATTTATAGGTTGAATACAAGATATAAATTGTTAATTTAATTTTTATATATTTCGTTGCAATATTATATTAAAGCAAGTTTAACAAAAATATGTTATTTAACGATCTTATTCTTTGTTAGATATTTGTTATGTTATTATTTAGCCGTTGAAACAAGGGATCATAGAATTTTCCTCACACGTGTCTTTTATGGCTTTTCCTCAGAATCTCAAGTACCTAAGGTTTCTCAGAACTCAACTACAATGTCCCTTTGTACTCGACAATAGCTTACATTTATTTGAAACAAAACATACTCTATAAAATAAATATTCAACGATACAGAACCTAAACTTTCTAATTTGAACAGTGTTCACTATTTAAATTATGAATTAATAAAATAATTTAATATAATCTAAATTACATTTAAATTTGCACTTCACTGCTGGTAGCGTCATCTGCTGGATGCATCTAGAGGCATTACACTAGTTAATTACATTTTACACTAAAAATATATTTTTTCACGTCACTGATTTTAGAATACTCACGTTTGTACAGCGAGATAGTCGAAACAAAACTGAACTTAACTGAGCACTTAGTATAAATATATTTGAACTAAATTGGTTAAAACAATCCCCCAATTTCCGAGTAGTGAATTCTGAGAAATATACATCGAGTGAAGAAAATACATCGAGTACAAAAGACTTTGGCGGCCAGAGCGCCAGAGTTAGCAATCGTCTATTGTTCGCTCGTGCGACTCGGCTGCGAAACGGTTTTGTCGGCGCGTCACAAAATGAGCTGTAACTCCGAAAATAATTCGAATTTCGAAAAATCCTTTTAGGGACATTTTCTTGAAGGGTTATACTATGAAAATAAGCAAAAAAAATCGATTTTTTCGAATTTCTAAACCAGAATATCCCCCTTCAAAGTTACAAGCAAGTCACATAGTTGCACACACACACACACACACACACACACACACACACACACACACACACACACACACACACACACACACACACACACACACACACACACACACACACACACACACAGCA